TGAGAACAATCTTTCTGATTCACAGACAGCTGCTTTCTTGCTGTGTTCGCACATGAAGGAAAGCAGAGAAAGAGAGAGATCATCCCTCTCGTGTCTATTTTTATAGGGGACACTAATCCGATTCATGAGGGCTCCATCTTCACACCCTAATTACTTCTGGAAGGCCGCACTTCCAGATACCATCACGTTGGGGATTTAGGCTTCAACATATGAATTTTGGGGAGCTACAAACGTTCAGTCCATAGTAGTGTCCTAAAGCACTCTACACACGGCAGTTCATAGATGTTCTTCTCACTCAGGGAGAAAAAAGAAAAACCGTTCAGTACCTTTTAGCTCATTTGCTTATATAAATAATTTGGTACATTGATTATAGTTTCTAGATAGGAATTAGGAAACCTAGCTTCTTGACCTGCCTCTAGCATTAGCTGGCTGCACGGTGTAGACCTAGGCCAACTCACTTAACCTCTCTGAATATTAGTTCTTTCATCCTTAAAATGGAGATGTTAAAACCAGTCACAACACCAGTGTGGAATGACATATGTGAAAGTAATTGTATTAAAAAAAAAAAAGAGCTGGGCTTCCCAGGTGGCGCAGCGGATGAGAGTCCGCCTGCCGATGCAGGGGACACGGGTTCGTGCCCCGGTCCGGGAAGATCCCACGTGCCCCGGAGCGGCTGGGCCCGTGAGCCATGGCCGCTGGGCCTGCGCGTCCAGAGCCTGTGCTCCGCAACGGGAGAGGCCACAACAGCGAGAGGCCCGCGTACCGCAAAAAAAAAAAAAAAAAGAAAAGAGCTATTAAATGCACAGAATTACGCCATGTATAATTGCATTACCTGGGAGCCTGCCTGGGTGAATTTTCCTTGGAAGGCACAGATGGGTTGGGAGGGAATGGAGAGCTTGTAGTTGCTTCCTCTGTTCTTCAAGAGTAATGTCAGCTTTGGATAGCACATCTGTTCTTAGCCAGAAGAGAAGAAATCCTGAGTTAGGTAGAGAGATGCCCAGGAAATAGAACTCTAGAAGGAAGAATAGGAAGAAGGTTAATGGGAAGTTAAAACAACTAAGGTGTGGGAGAGAGGAAGACATATGCCTATTTAGCAGCAGTTAAGTTTACTTTAATAAGACCTTGGGTCCAACATTAATAACAGAGAAACAAAGTAGAAGCACCTAAACATCCCATATCTTTAGCTGTGACTTGCTGTCAACAGACTTCTATTTTGGTCTCCTGTGTTACTGAGAACTCTTAGATTGAGACTTTATTAATTTTAAGGTCATTCAGGTGTAAGTGTAGTGCCTTAAGGCTTTTTGTTTTGTTTTTTTTTTTTGCCTGTGGTCGTGATCATCTTTGTTTGTTTGTTTTTGTGACCAACTTTTATTTATATCTGTTTCAAAAAAGGTATTGTCTTTCCCACTTACCTAGCCTGATATCAAGCTGCTCCCTCAAAAGTTTAGCTGGTGTTTGTAAAATATTTTTATAACTTAATTTAATTCAGTTGCACTTAAAATGTACAGTGTCCTGTGCTGGTCAAAAATAATAATGTCATCTTGGTGATTTGTAAAATGAGATGTCGGTTTATTATTACCACCATTACCCTATTGTAAACAAAGTTGTAATATTTTCATTAGCATATATGTATCCTTAATAGAATTTATTAAATCCCTAGGGTTCAAGGGATATATATGTTAATTTTTCAGGGGTGATAGATCCATTTCACCACTTAAAATATTCTTTCTGATTATAAAAGTAACTATTTATTGCAGAAAACCTAAGTAGAAAAGATATAAAAACAATTTCTTAGAGAGCTATTGTTAATATTTTTTCATTTTCTTTTCTCTATACATCTTATTTTGTGTATTTGAACTCATAATGTATATAAAGTGTTTTAATCTTTTTTCTGTTAAAATTGTAATCATTTTCTTTCATCATTAAAACTAAATTCCTGTTTAGTGATTATATAAATTCATAGTACAGATATTTCACCATTTTCATAATAATTTCCTGAAGTTGGATGCTTAAATTGCTTCCAGTATTTGGAAATGTTTGCTAAGCTGATAGGTGAATAATATCTCTGTAAAGTATGTATTTCTTTAATTACTAATAATATTACATTTGAATATTTTTCAGATGTTAGCCAAGTTTTTAATGAACTGTCCAGTTTTATCCATATGTTCTTAGTAGTTCTTACTAGTTAATTCATATATTTTATATTAAGGATATTAGCTATTTGGTAATACTTGTAAATACTTACAATTTGGCTTAACATTTTTTCTGATTATGAAAGTAAAATTCAATCATTAAATTTTTAAAGTACAAATAAGTACATAGAAGAAAATAAAACTTATTCCATCAGCATTCACATGTGTAATTTTAATGGAATTAACACTAGACAGTCTTGTTGGTACTCTGCTTAGTTCAGGTGACAATATAGAATATACTAGAAAAATTTTATTAAATATTTACATTTAGAATTGTTACATAGTATTCCACTATACACATATGCCATAATTAATTAAGGATGGAAAGTTAGTGTTCAATTTTTCACTACTCAAAACCCTGTGGTATTCTTAAGATAAATTATAAGTGAAATTACTGGACCCAAGTATGTTCACACCTTTACTTGATACAAATTACCCTTCCGGAAGGCTATGTAATTCAGTTCCCACTGGCAGTGTTCAGAATACCCGTTTCCTTGGTGCTCACTAAAAATCCATAGTTCTAATTTTTAATCAACTTTATTGTATAGTTTACATATAATAAATGTACCCGTTTTAAGTATACTGATCAATGAGTTTTAACAAACACATACATATACTCTTGTAACCACCACCCCAATCAAGATGTAAAATGTTTCCATTACCCCAAAAAGTTTCCTCTTGCACATTTTCATCAATCATCAATTCCCTCCTCCTACCCGAGGTAACTTGGGTAACCACAGATGTTTCCTGTCAGCATAGATTATATTCTATCACTATAAGTTATATGGATATATATATATATATAAATGGAATCATATAGTACATGTATTCTTTGGGGTCTAGATTCTTTTGCTCAGCATGTCTTTGAGATCCATCACTGTTGCTGCCTGAATCAGTATGTTCTACTATTGAGTAAAAAGCCATTTTACTGATATACCAAAATGTGTCTATCACCAGGTGAATGATGAAACATTTGGGTTGATTCCAGGCTGGGGCTTTTGTGAATAAAGCTGCATATATGTGCACAGGTCTTTAAGCTATGACTCTCTAAAAAGAGATCCTTCATTTTCTTACCTGGGAGAAGATTTGTGGACTCTAGGTATATCACCTACTGTTTCAGGTCAAGCAGATTTCTCAAAGGCAAGCCATACCTTGTTTTAGGGTCCGATTAGCAGGATGAGGCAATGGGGCAGGCTATGATTTTGAGAGCATCTTGGAAGGCTATCTGGGGAGCACCTGATCTCCCTCCTCCTGTAGCAGCCGCAAGCATAAGGCTCCTATTGCTCACAGCCCTCCCCCACGATGTCTTCTGGCTCCTGACAAGTCTAAGAACCCTGCTAAGTCAGGCCTGGCCTCTTCCCGTGACGGGGGGTGGGTCAGAGGAGAAAATAACGACAGGCATCATGCTGTTTACTGCCACATCCCCTAAATAGCTCCAGGAGGCAGTGGCAGGGTCAGGCTACCCTACAGGCCACTTGAGCCCCTGCCCAATGGCCTCTAGGGTATTCTGTGCCCTCTTCTCAGCTACATGAGAATTGTGTGCTCAGGACTCCGTAGAATTCCGTGCAGTGTTTGCAGGGCCTGCCTTCTGGAAGTGGAATGCAAACTTCTTGAGAGCAAAGGATCACGCCTTATACAAATTTTTCTATGTACGAGGCACACAGTAGGTACTCACATAGGGTTTTGGGTAATGTAAAATCAGAACCTGAGACATGGGCATGGCTTATAAACACTCAATAGTATTTGAAAGTTAAAGTAGGGTCTTTAACAAACAAATACTTCCGATAACATAGTTTTCCCTGGAATTGAAATTAGTGATGGGAGGGCAGTTGTAGCTTTTGTTTCGTGTGGTTGTGCACATGTTATTTTGTACAGCTATTTTTCGAAAAAGAAACCAAAGACAATCATTAAACACCATTCCCTCTCTTGTCTTCCCAATCTCCCTTCTGCGGCAACCTCTGAAATTCTGAGATTCTAAGAGAAGTTTCCAGAACCTAAATATGGGAAACAGACACGTTTGGGGAGTTATTTGTATTTAAAGGCAATATGATAACAAATGCCATGAGTGGGATGGGAATAAGATTTTATAGAGAAATAAATGGTTTACAGACAGCTTTTCAGGAAAACCTCTCTCATAATAAAGGAAGATAGTTCATTAGACTAAGGGCCTAAACTTTCAGACCACAAGAGCCTGGAGTCATTACACAGATTACACCTCATTACACAGTACATCTGTTACTAAGTCTAAAGTCACTCTGCTCGCTGCATGACAGGCAGCAAGTCGGGAGACAAGTTATTGGGGGAACTTTATTTGGAAAACCAGCAGACTGAGAAGGTGGCCGACTAATGTCCTAGAGAACCATCTTACCCCAGTCAGAATTCAGGCTTCGTTTATACTAAAAGGTGAGGGGCAGGGGTGAAGGGGGAGTTGGTTGGTGTAAACTTCTTGGTGCAGGAATCCTTTGTTCTTGCAGCTGTCCATGTAGGTCAGGTCACGATGTTCCCGTAAACCTCCAACAAGACCAATGTTATTTTCTGTTCTGCACTTTTTATCTTTATGTGAATGGGAAAGTGTTGTACTCTTAAAGGTCAGAGCCTTGAGAATGGGCCGTCCTGTATATTGCAGGCTATAGGCAACATTCTTAACTCGAAGCAAAAGCAATAGAATACAAAGGTTGAAGTAAAAGAAACAGATCTAATATGGAGTCAGATTTGTTCTTCCCTATTATATCTCTTTCACGAACATCAACTCTTATGTTTGCTCATGGCAGAATGAGGTTTTGATGGGGCGTGTTTCTCTTCCCTCAGTTCACTGACATTGGGACCTTCGAGACGGTGTGGCAGGTCAAGTTTTACAATTACCACAAGCGAGATCACTGCCAGTGGGGAAGCCCCTTCTCCGTCATTGAGTACGAATGCAAGCCCAATGAGACCCGCAGTCTCATGTGGGTGAACAAGGAGTCCTTCCTCTGAAGATGGCGCTTTCTGATGCTGTTGGACAGTCTCTTCGAAGATCCACTTTTAGATAACCCAGCACAAGCCTTCACCACGGCACACCACTCCGTTGCTGTCTCCCATTGGGTGCCAATTACCTACTAGCCCTGATTATTCTGAATGTGTAATTCCCTTCTGATGCAATGTCCCTGACATAAAAGGTCATGATGTACCCTGCCCGAGAGACTCCCTTTCTGTATTCTGTGTTGGTGTTCCTGCCTCCAGTTGTTCTTGGTCACGCTGGTGGCCACTTGGAGGAGCTCTGTGGAATCCGCAGGCTGTGTCCCACACTTAACTTTTCCACTGAATGACTGTGCTGTTTTGTTTCCAAGTTGAGTGCTTCCCTCTTTTTTGCTAAATGTTAAATAAAAAATAACAGTGTGCTTGGGTTCCATCCCAAGTGTGCAAGGGTAACATGTAACTTGGGATGTTTTCCATCTGTGTCAAAGTAGCCTTTGTGAAAATGTGATGCAAGCAGCAGTCAATGGGACTCAAGTGTTGTGCTTTCTATAAACAGCTCGGCTATTTCAGGGAAGAATAATGACGAAAGAAAAGGACAAATATTTAAGAAGTGTTTATAACGTATTACAACTCAAATAATGTAAGGTATTGTGCTGTGGCCTAGTGGAAGTGGGAACGAGCCTTGTGTGGACCACTGTTAAACAAGGTGACCAAAGTGACAGGGTTAACTCTTTGGCAAGTGACTGTGGTGTCCAAACAGGCATGCTGATGGCCTCCCTACATTCCCCTCCACTTGAACTTTGTAAAACTGTGTATGGAACTATAATCAACTTTTGATATTTCTTAATAAAGGCATTGAAAATCATCCTTGACTTGCCTTCTTAATTTGGGCAATATCTGTCTAGCAGGTGGACCTCTGCCCCAGGCCAGCTCTACTAAGATTGCTACTGAATCCAGGCAGGTACCGCTCACCACACGACAGGTCAGTAAATCAAGAGATGAGGTGGAGGGGCACAGAATAACGACTTTATTCGGAAAGCCAGCAGACCAGGTAGATGGTGGACTACTGTCCCAAAGATTAGAATTCAGGCATCTTTTATATTAAAAGGGGAGGTGGTGTGGCTGTTTGTTGCAAACTTCTTGGTGCCGGAATCCTTTGTTCTTGCAGCTGTCCATGTAGGTCAGGTCACGATGTTCCTGTAAACCTCCAACAAAACAAATGTTATTTTCTCTTCTGCAACTTTTTAATCTCTCTATGATTGGGAAAGTGTTACACTTTTAAAGGTCAGAGCCTTGAGAATGGGCTATCCTGTATATTTCAGACTATAGGCAACATTCTTTTACCAAAGGTGCAGAGCCAGCATGACCAAGCACAGGCAACAGAGCACAAGGATTAGAGCTAAAGGAATAGATCCAATATGGAGTCAGGTTTGTTCTTCTCTGTTACAAGACCACCATCTATGTTGCAGGGTGAGGGGGATATACCTGGAGTAGAAATAGCACACTTAACTCATAGATCAATTCTGACCATTAAACAGGGAATACTCTACCGGCTGCAACAAAGCTAGCACAGGCTTGGGCTCTTGGTGGACAATCAAAAAATGCTTGTTCCTGTCCTCTCTCCATTCCTCCTTCCAGGGTGACCACACCCCTATCAGCCACCTATATAGCTGAGCAGCTTTAGGATGTGGTGCTGTAACAGTGCATGTGCATCAGGATGGAGACCTCCTTGCCTGCTCCCAGGCACTGCAAGGTACCTGGCACAAAGCCTGTACTCCATGTAGATTGAGGATGAATTCCCTAAGAAGCAAAGAAACATTCTCTTGAAAGGTAACAATATTGTAATGTTCACTTGGGAAGCACAAATCCTATTGGGTTGGAAAAAGTTAGTTGGGGATTTGTTTTTTTGCTGCCTGTGAACCTTCCATGTAAGAATATGCAAGGTTAATGGGACTATTGCAAAGAATCAGTTTCTTGTGGAAATGAATTTGGAAGGCTGGCCCCAAACCCTCTGCACCTGTGTTACTTACCTGCAATGAGGCTGTGCTTCCAGCAGGGTGCAGTAATGCCTTGGATTTGGGCTAATCGCGAGCGGTGTTAAAAGAGAGGAGTATGCTTCTCAATTCGCTTGTTTTTCAAAAACGATAGTGTCTATTAACTGCTGCTAAATATAAGCACTAATCCGCTCCTAATTACTGTATTTTAAAAGCCAACACTCTTCAAACACTGAGAGATTTAAAGCAATGGGTTTACCATAGACAGAGGCTTAAGTTTTATTCCAGGATATCCAGTGGAAATGCAGGTATTAGAAGGTGGGCAAATGTGAAAACTACATATCTTAGCCTATTGAAACATTTGATGAGTAAATATTTTCATTTGGGAAACAAGGACTCTCAAGCTAGTGACTCATCCATCAGAGTCTTAGTATTTGCTTTGAGGGGTGGAAGCAATATTGCAGCTTTTGCCCATTTCCATTTTTGAGTTGGGAATGACTTAAGGCAGGGCTGGGGGAAACATGGCCCATGTCACTGGACACACCGAAGAGCCCCAGCCCAGAAGCTGGAGCATCAAAGTCCCAGAGACACACTGGGTGAGTTCAACTTTTCACCATCATTCTGCTTGTGGGTAAGATGAGTTCGGCTAGTAGACTTCTAAAGCACATTAAGATTTATGGTCTGTACCTCTACTTTATTCTCCTTATTTTGTTTAAATGTGTGTGTCCACGCATGTGTGTATGTTTCCCTTGAGGCTAAGAGGTAAGGTTGAATCAAGGGAGGTGGGGAGGGGATGGAGATGAAGTAAACAGGAAATCTTAACAGCTAATCTGCCACCTTAAGTGATCTCTCCTGGCATCTACTGTTCTACTTATGATTGGACTCAAGCCCAGTCTCTCTGGCTACTTCTCAGCATAGCTCTCCTCCTACTTCCAGATTCAAGTGCTCAGCTATATCAAGCTGCTGAGTTGTAACTTTGCCCCTCAGCCATCTGGAAGCCTATTTTTATACAAGTTGTAGCCATGTCTCTCTACTTCTAAGCATCGGGTGGCTACCCAGAAGCTTGAGGAACTAGGCCATCCTTCTAATTATTATGATGACTGAAACACTTTGGAACAGGTGGGAGAGTAGAAATGCCTTGAATTTCTATTTTGTGACACCTTGCTTATTGAGAAGTCACTTATCCAACCATCTAAGCCATCCAGATCCCAGATGAGAACAGAAAACATGCCAAAAAGTAAAGATCTCTGTTACAGATGTCACCAAGTCCATCCACTAAAGGCTTGGGTCTTCTCTCAAAGCCTCATGACTCATATTTTAAAGACGGTTCTAACTTATAAGGTGATCTAGTGTCTGGCTCTTAGGAAATTGGACGCAGAATAATTAGAGGAAAGAAGGCAATTTGTAGAGACAGATATACTGAAAATAAATTTTTTTCACAGAGAGGGGACCAAGAAAAAAGTTGAAAGAAGATAAAATAAGTTAAAAACAATAATAGAGAGGGACATAATCCTGAATTAAACCACAATAGTTTCTGTGGATATCAAATAAAAATTGATATACATCATCATGACTCTTATTTAGGAAGATTATCCATTATTTTCACAAATGTTTCATCATGACCCAGTGTTTAAGAGTTCAGATTCTGGAGCCAAGATGCCTCAATTCAAATCCTTATTAACTGTGTGACCTTAGACAAGTCACTTAATATCTCTGCGCTTACATTTTTTAAACTAATTAATTATTTTTGGCTGCGTTGGGTCTTCGTTGCTGCGTGCTGGCTTTCTCTAGCTGCGGGGAGAGGGGGCTACTCTTCGCTGCGGCGCGCGGGCTTCTCATTGCGGTGGCTTCTCTTGTGGCGGAGCACGGGCTCTAGGCGCACGGGCTTCACTAGTTGTGGCACGCGGGCTCTAGAGCGCAGGCTCAGTAGTTGTGGCGCACGGGCTTTGTTGCTCCGTGGCATGTGGGAATCTTCCCGGACCAGGGCTCGAACCCTTGTCCCCTGCATTGTCGGGTGGATTCTTAACCACTGCACCACCAGGGAAGTTCTGTGTTTAAAGTTTTTCACTTGGAAAATGGAGATAATAAAAATATTTACTTTAAAGAGTGGTTGTGAGGATTAAATACGTTAATGTAGATAAAATTAACTGTGACTGGCACATAACATTATTACTTGGTACATTTTGTTTAAAAAGTCAGAGAGGACAAAATACATTTTTAAACAAAAGTGTTAAAAATGCAAAGAGGAAAACTGAAGGTGTTTAAAAGAATATTCCATGCATGGGTGATGGTCAAAGCTTGTGCTCTGGTCTTATACAAAAAATGAAGAAGAAGAAGAAGATGATGAAGGAGAAGGAGGAAGAGGAAGATGAGGGGGAGGAGGGGAAGGAAGGAGAGGAGGAGGAGAAAGAGAAGGAAAAGAAGGAAAGAGAGGAGGGGGAGGGGGAAGAGAAGGAGAAGAAGGAGAAGGAGAATGTATGTAGAGACAATATTTTTAATTATTTAAAAATAAATAGTTTGAAGTAATGTATTTTAAGGTATGTTAGGGAAAGACTTTCTCCAAAAACAGGCTTCATACGCGCAGGCTCAGCAGCCATGGCTCACGGGCCCAGCCACTCCGCGGCATGTGGGATCCTCCCGGACCGGGGCACGAACCCGTGTCCCCTGCATCGGCAGGCAGACTCTCAACCACTGCGCGCCACCAGGGAAGCCCATAGAGTCTCTTTTACAAAGACCCAGTTCTTAATAATATGCAAACATCCGGACAGAATCAGAGAACTTAAAATCTGAGAAATGTCGAGTGATGTCATAAGTTCTATTTGTTATTTCTTCAAAATCTGATAAATGTCAGGAGTGATGTCAAAAGTTCTATTTGTTATTTCTTCTTTTTTAAAAAATAAATATTTATTTTTGGCTGTGTTAGGTCTTTGTTGCTGCACACCGGCTTTTTCTAGTTGCAGCGACGGGGGGCTACTCTTCATTGCAGTGCGCGGGCTTCTCATTGTGGCAGTTCCTCTTGTGGAGCACGGGCTCTAGGTGCACGGGCTCAGTAGTTGTGGCTCACGAGTTCTAGAGCACAGGCTCAGTAGTTGTGGCGCACGGGCTTAGTTGCTCCGTGGCATGTGGGATCTTCCTGGACCCGGGATCGAACTGTGTTCCCTGAATTGGCAGGCAGATTCTTAACCACTGCGCCACCAGGGAAGTCCGTATTTGTTATGTCTTTTAATCCTCCCAACAGCTCTGTGAGGTAGGCAGCGCATGTCATATGTCCGTTTTACAGAAGAAAAATGTCTCAGATTTTGAAAAATAAGGCTCAAGTTTAAACAGCTGATTTTACAAGAAATGACTTTATTTGATCCTCAGTTTTCTCGTTTGTGAAGTGGTGACAATACTATCCACTTCAGAGTGTGTTAGGATTAAATAATGTCACAAGCAAAACACCTTCCTTCTCTTCTCCTCATCACCCTCCTTCTGATGCATTTTATTTAAAACGACTTCATCCTGTGCCCACACTCCCGCCGTGTTTGTTTTTTTAACCGGTGGTTTTGCCTTCCTTTATTTGCAGTCTACTAGATCAATGCCTTTCCCCCCCCAAAATTACTGTGAATTGATTAAGTCTATATAGATGACTCTAAATTATTGTCAATAAATAAAAGCATTCCATTTCTAGAAACTCTGTATTCAGTTAGAAAGCTATAGCTCTCTGCACAGCAAATTACTTGAAGAGGACCTTGACTATTTGAAGTCATAGGAACTAGTGTTCGAGCACTAGATAAGACTAATTCTGTTTTTTTTTTTAGCAAGTATGGTATTTTATTCCACATTTACTGACCAATGAAAAATATGACAATATTTTTGGCCTCACTCTTGT